ATTAATTAGTTGTTTGTTTATTTGTTTGTTTAGTTATTTGGGCATTTATTTATTTATTTAATCTATTAGTTTATTAATTTATTTATTTATTTATTTATCTGTAAAGACTTATACATTTATACTATCAAAAAGATATAACGAAAGTTATAGATAGGCAGGCATGCATGCATTTATATGCTTATACACATATATAAATATATATTATATATTATACATAATATACATTATATATATTGTATATGAATGGGATATATACAGAATAATATATATGTAAGTACATAAAGAGACAAACAAAACAAACTAGCAGCAGCAGCAGCACCAGCAACAGCAGCAGCAGCAGCAGCAACAGCAGCAACAGCAGCAGCAACACATGCAGGCGTCTCTATGCATGATGCATCTCATCCACGACATTCTTTCACGTTGTATAAATCACCCTAGGGTTTAGGGTTTAGGGTTTAGGGTTTAGAGTGTACGTACAGCACAGAAGGGACATGAAGCAGCATCAACAGACCCCATCTTCTCTGCAACAGCAAAAGGCCTCAATTTAAATTTATTTTCAGGCACAGACCCTCTCTTCCACCCATACATAAACCAGCGTACACCTAAACCGAAGTCAGGGGCCTTCAAACCCATACTAAACCCCCCACTAGGGGGCCCCTCAGGGGCCCCCATACCCCTAAGAGGCCCCTTAGGGGCCCCCCAAGGGGCCCCCCAAAAGGCCTTTAAAGAGGGGCCCCCAGGTGCCTCCTGAGGGGCCCCCAAAGGGGTGTCATTAGGGGCCCCCTGAGGGGCCCCCATAGGGGCCTCCCGGGGGCCCCCTAAAGGGGCCCCCAAAGAGGGGTCATTGGGGGCCCCCTGAGGGGCCCCCGAAAGGGTAACGTTAGGGCCCCCCTGAGGGGCCCCCTGAGGGGCTCCTTGTTGAAGGGGCTCTGAGGGGCCCCTGAACCACCACCAAGGGGCCCCTGAGAAGATCTGGAATAGGGATGGAGAGTCAGAGGTAACGGATGCTGCTGCAGTGCTGCAGCTTCCCCCGTTTCCTTGTTGCTGCTGTTGCTGCTGCTGCTGCTGTCGTTGCTGCTGCTGCTGCTGCTGCTGCTTCTGCTGCAGGTTAGCAGAGGTATAGAACGGTTGATGTGTCTGCCCCTCCTGGGGCCCCCTTCTTTTCATATTGAGTGTATGTACACCTGGGGGCCCCCTCGAACGGTGGTTGAGGTATGGGGGCCCCCCTATTCAAAGGCTTCTTTAAAAAGAAATAAATAGTTAAAGAAGATGAAGAATAAAAAGAATAAAAAGAATAAACAAGAGAAAGTATATTGTGTATAGGGCTCCACAGAAGAAGCAGCTCAACACCGGCCTCAGCTAACAGCTGCTTAGCGAGAATAAGGGGTTTATGTTTTTATATTCTTTATTTAAAATTAAACTCTATATAAATAAAAATTAAAAAAGAATTATAATGATGCATGCAGCAGCACAAATAAAGAAAAAATATTAGCTGTTTATGATGGGGGCCCCTGGGGGCCCCTAAGCTGAACAATACGGTGTACGTACACCTGAATTAAAAATTTTTATTGTATTTAAATATAATATTATTAAACCGATAAATATATTTATTTTATTTATTCATTTATTTTATTTATTCTTTTTCAGCCTTTTAAACAACTACCGGGGGCCCCCTGTAAATAGCTCAGCAGCGGTATTGAAGAAAAATAAATATTATATTTTATTATTTTTAATTATTTTTATTTTTTTATTTATTTTATTTAAACTTCGCCTTCCTTCTTTTATCCTGGGGGCCCTTTCTGAGGTAGAGAGCTGCCTATACACTGTGAACAGCAATACATAATAAACCCTTTATATTATTTTTATAATAAGCTTGTTCTTCTTTTTATTATATTTATCTTAATAAACCTTTCTTTTATTCATTTTATATTAATAAACATCTCCTTCTTTTTATTAATGTTATATTAATCTCTTTGTTTTTTTATAATAATATTACTCTATTGAAAAGCAGAGCTGCCAGCCACCTAAACTCTCAGCAACAAATGCTGTACGTACACACTACCAAACAGCAGCAACTGCAGCAGCAGCAACAACAACTGCAGCAGAAGCAGGTGCTGCAGCACCCCCAGCAGCAGCAGCTGCAGCAACAACACCCCCAACAGCAGCGACTGCAGCAGCAGCAGCACAACTAGCAGCAAAACTACCAGCAGCAACGGCAGTACACCACCAGAAGCAGCAACAGCAGCAGCAGCAACAGCAGCAGAAACAGCAGCAGCAGCAACAGAAGCAGGATGTACCTTGATTCTTTAAACAAGCAGCCTCAAGCTTTAAACTCTCATGAATTATATTATAGAAATAATGCAGCAGACAGGGGCCCCCGAGCAGAATAATCTGTTCTGTCTACCCCATTACCAAGGGGCCCCCTTGACCTAACTCTGGGGGACCCCTAACCCCCCTCCTTTATAACTCTGGGGGGCCCCCTAACCCCCCTTCTTAATAACCCTAGGGGGCCCCCTAATCCCCCTCCTTTATAACCCTAGGGGGCCCCCTAATCCCCCTCCTTTATAACTCTGGGGGCCCCCCTGCAGCCTCGCTGGGGTCCCTCCACTGTCTAGGGGGCCCCACAGGGGCCCCCAAGATACGACACTCGCAACCCCGAGGGGGCCCCCCTATTAACTGTACCCATGGGGGGGGGGCCCCCCAATTAACTGTACCCATGGGGGGGCCCCCCCTATTAACTGTACCCATAGGGGGGCCCCCATAGGGTATGGGGCTGTATAGGGTATGTGAAAGAAGGGGTGAGGCGTAGAGTCGAAGCACAGACACCGCAATGCAGTCATTAGGCTGTGTGCTGTAGCTGTTCCTCCTGCAGCTGCAGCTGCAGCTGTTGCTGTTGCTACTGCTGCTGCTGCTGCTGCTGCTGCTGCTTCTGCAGCTGAACTGTCAAGCTGCTGCTTCTGCAGCTGAACTGTCAAGCGGCTTTATTCTTCGTCTGGGCGTTTCCACTCATCGAGCTGCACGTACACCCCAACGCAACAGAAAAATAATAATAAAAGGTGCATAGACACCCCAAAGGAAGAAAAAAGAAAGACAAAGACAAACAAATATAAAAATATAAAAACAGCGGGCCGGTGATAGGAAGAAGAAAATAAACATAAAAATAAGAAGACAAAATAAATAAGAATGAGTGCAGCAGCAAGTACAGCAGCAAATACAACAGCAAGTACAGCAGCAAGTGCAGCAGCAAGCGCAGCAGCAAGTGCAGCAGCACGTGCAGCAGCAAGCGCAGCAGCAAATACACGTACAGCAGCACGTGCAGCAGCAAGTGCAGCAGCAAGTGCAGCAGCAAGTGCAGCAGCAAGCGCAGCAGCAAGTACAGCAGCAAGTACAGCAGCACGTGCAGCAGCAAGTGCAGCAGCAAGTGCAGCAGCACGTGCAGCAGCAGCGTTGCTTACATCGGCGGGGGATCTGGAGGTGGGCATGTGCATGCTTGCTAGCTGCTGCAGCAGCTGAGGCATAGAGAGGCACTGCTGCTTCTTGCTGCAGCCTCTCTCTCGAATTGTAATTGTCTTTGTATTCATCTCTGACTCTCCTACTACCAGCAGCAGATTCCATTGCTGCAGCTCTGCTTCTCTTATCTTCTTGTTTATTGTGTTGCTCGATATGTCCAAACCCACGTTGTAACCTGCAGCAGCAGCAGCAGCAGCAGCAGCAGCAGCAGCAACAGCATCCGTATATATATATATATATATATATTCATTTATTTACATATAGTTATATGTATATATGTGCATGCACCTAGATATAAATAGACATACATATATATAGATATATATAGATATATATAGATATATATAGATATATATAGATATATATATATATATAGATATATATATATATATATAGATAGATACATAAACGTATAAACGTATATGAATATATAAATAATATATATACATATAAATGCAGATATTCAAATAAAAAAAACATTTTCTAACCATGTGTAAGAAGAACATCTACATACAGATGTATTTATATTGTTTAATATATAATATTTATAATATATATAATATATATATAAATATATATAAATATATATGTATATAGATATATATAAATATATATATGTATATATATTTATATCTATTCATATTTCTTACCATGTGTAAGAAGCACATCTACATACACATAATATTTATATCCCTATATACATATATATATATATAAGCATATATATATATACATATATATACACATATATATATTATATATATTATATATATTATATATATTACTTACCGTGTGTAAGAAGCACATCTTTAACTTTGAGTGCGTAGTCTGCAGACTTTGAAGAAATTGACAAAACAATGCACTGACGCGGAGACAGCCAAAAGGGCAGCTTGCCTCCTGTATGTTCTAATAGAACTGCGCACATTCTTTCTAGAGACCCTGAAGAAGAAGAAGCAAAACAATACTTATTTATTTATTTATTTGTTTATTTTTATACATTTATAGCGTTAACCATGCATGCTCTAATATGACTTAACATTTTATCTCTAAAGAGACTGAAGAAAAAGAAGCAAAACAATTATTGTTTGTCTACCTATATATATTTATATATATACATTTATATTTATATTTATATTTATATTTATATTTATATTTATATTTGTTTATATTAATATCTATTTATGTCTTTATTGTAAATATAAACAAAATAAAAAATAAACAAAGCCAAGCGAACGAACGACGGGAGAAAAATTAAAAAAGAAAAAAAAAACAAAGACAGACACAGCAAGACAAACAAATAAAATAAATAAATAAATTAATTAATTAATTAATTAAAATAAATTAATAAAATAAATAAGAAAAGAACAACATACCGAAGATTGCTCTATGAATAATAACAGGGCGAGACATGCCAGGCTTCAGCTGCCCCTCCGGTTTGCTGCTGCTGCTGCTGCTGCTGTTGCTGCTGTTGCTGCTGCTGCCGTTGCTGCTGGTGTTGTGTTCATTCGCATCATGATCTTCCGCACGATCGTCTGCTGCTGCTGTTGCTGTTGCTGCTGCTGCTGCTGCTGCTGCTCCTGCAGTTTCTTCACTTGTTTTATATTGAAGATTGAAACGAATAGGCAGCTGAAAATCTAGTTGTATAGTGCCGCACTGATGAGCTCTATTAAGAGCATCATGCAATTGTATATCTATCTTCGGCCCGTAGAAAGCACCGTCTTTAGGGTTAAGCTTCCAAGGCTTATTAACTTTAATTAATGCACTCTTAAGAGCTTCTTCTGCTCTGTGCCACGTCTCTAGAGAGCCTATTGCTTTATCAGGTCTTGTAGATAATGCAAGCGAAAAAGAGAAGCCGAAGCGTTCATAAACATAGAATAGAAACTCTAAACAAGATAATACTTCTTCTTCTATTTGATTAAATGCACAAAATATATGACTGTCATCTTGTTGAAACCTTCTTACTCTAATTAAACCCGATAAGGACCCTGCAACTTCATTGCGGTGTAATACACCGAAATCTGCTAGACGTAGAGGTAATTGTTTATAAGAAGGAGATATATATTTAAACATTATACAATGTGCAGGGCAATTCATAGGCTTTAGACCCCAGTCCTTATTATCAATATTTAATAAATACATATTTTCTTTATAGTTTTCATAGTGTCCGCTTGTCCTCCATAGATCGCATGAAAATATATTAGGCGTTATAACTTCTTTAAACCCTCTTAATTGATATTCTCTCCGAATAAATTCTATCATCTTATTATATATTATTGCACCTTCTGGCAGCCAGAAGGCACTCCCAGGTGAGGCATTATCAAAGAAAAACAAAGAAAGCTTCTGCCCTAACAATCTATGATCCCTCTCTTTTGCTGCTTTCAATAGCTGCAAATGCTGCTGCAGCTGCTGCTGCTGCGGGAACGAGATACCATATACTCTTTGTAAGCTGTCGTTGCTGCTGCACCCTAAGAAGTAAGCCGAGCTATGCGATGTTAGAGCAAAGGCTTTACATAGACCTGTAGAAGGGATATGAGGCCCTCTACATAGATCTACTAAGCTCCCGCATCTATATACAGTTGTTTTACTATTATCTGCAATCTTTGCTTTTATAAGAGCTTGTTTAAAAGGATTCTCTTTAAATAACTCTAAGGCTTCTTCTTTCGTACAAACTAAACGCTCATACACCTGATCTTCACTTATATATTTATTTGCTGCTGCTTCTATGCATGCATGCAAACCCTCATTCATCGCAAAGTCTCCCATATAACAATCATAATAAAACCCTGGGTTCAATGCGGGGCCCACTGTCAACAAAGCCCCAAACTCGTTCTCTAACGCCTGCCCTGCATGCGCATGCATGCACATACATACATAATATATATATTATATAGATGATATATATACAAAGATATATATATAATGATATATATATATATAAAGACATACATGTAAATATATATATATATAAAGATATGTATATAAAGATATATATATATATATGTTTGTATATATCTACAAATGTAAATAAATAAATATATATATATATATATATATGTTTGAAGACGTGAAAATAGAAAAGATAAAACTGTCTACATATACGGGCGCCAAAGAAGAGAAACAAACAATAAAGACAATACCCATCGCTTTAAGAAATAATAAACCCTAAACCCTAAACCCTAAAACCCTAAACCCTAAAACCCTAAACCCTACCATACAAACAGAACAAGAATAAAATGAACTCCATACCCTTCTCTAAAAACTAAAAGCTAAAAAACCCAAAACCCTAAACCCTAAACCCTAAACCCTAAACCCTAAACCCTAAAACCCTAAAACCCTAAACCAACCCTAAACCCTAAACCCTAAACCCTAAAGACATAACCGACCGAGTATATGGGCGCTTGAATGCCAGAAGACAGTCTGAGCCTCCGGGGCGTCAAACTTTAAAATCTGCAATTTACAGTCTGCTTCTAAAGGCCGCCTCATATCCCAGAGCTGCCAGTTTGCTGCTGCTGCTGCTGCTGCTGCGTCTCCACCGCAACATGAATCTCCTGCTGCTGCTGCTGCGGCGGCGGCGGCGGCTTCTGCTGCTGCTGCTGCTGCTTCTTCTGTATCGTCAGAGTCTGCTGCTGCTATTTCTGTTGATGAAGCACTCTCTTCTTTGTACGCAACCTACAAATAAACAAATTAAATAAATTAAATAAATTAATAAATAAATAATAAATAAGCATAAAACATACAAGAAGAGTTAAACAAAAAATAAAAATAAATAAATAAAAAGATATAAAAGGAGACAGCACAGACAACATAAACTAATTAAAGTATAAAAATAAATAAAAGTATTAAAAGATATAAAACAAAAAAAGACAGACAACAACAAAGGCGGCGGTCAACGGGAGGCTGCCTGCTGCTGTTGCTGCTGCTGCTGCTGCCTCTACTACTACTGCTGCTGCTGCTGCTACTCCTACTCCTACTTCTGCTTCTGCTGCTGCTTCTGCTGCTGCTGCTGCTGCTGCTGCTGCTACTCCTACTTCTGCTGCTGCTGCGGCTGCTGGTTCTACTACTACTGCTGCTGCTGCTGCTGCTTCTTCTGCCTCCCCTCCCGCCCCTACTACTCCTACCCTCCCCCTGCTGCTTCTGCTGTTGCTTCTCCTGCTGCTGCTGCTGCTGCTGCTGCTGCTGCTGCTGCTGCTGCTGCTGCTGCTGGAGTATAGTATTATACCTTAGCAACAATTGCAGCTTTTGCTAATCCTTTTGAGATGCCCTCAGCAATTTTCATCGGAGTCGTTTCGAAGGAAACCCCATCGACGCGACTTCCGTCAGGAAGTTCAATAACAATCGATTTGCGAGGCATGCCTGTACACCCCAAACCCTAAACCCTAAACCCTAAACCCTAAACCCTAAACCCTAAACCCTAAACCCTAAGCAATAAACAATAAACAATAAACAATAAACAATAAACAATAAATTGGTGTTGGATAACGTCCTAAGACACGCGCATGGACGACAGACAAACAAATATTGCCCTATCTCCCCAGCTGCTGCTGCTGCTGCTGCTGCAACAACAGCAGCAGCATCAGCAACAGCAGCAGCTGCAATGGCATCATCATAATTATCAGCAGCAGCAGCAGAATCAACAGCAGAATCAGCAGCAGCAGCAGAATCAACAGCAGCATCAGAATCAGCAGCAGGAGCAGCAGAATCAGCAGCAGCAGCAGAATCAGCAGCAGCAGCAGAATAAGCAGCAGGAGCCTAATGAATCTTACTTTTGAGGTCTTCATTTTGTTTATTCATGAGTGTATTAAACAATTTTAATCTTTCTTGAATAAAAGGTGCTGCTTTTGTTGCAGCAAACTCCCCGCCTATTTTGCCTACATTGCTGAGCGAATGCGCAGTGCCCTCCTCTGCTCGACGCCCCGAAGAGCCTTTACCTCCTGCTGCTGCTGCTGCTGCCATCCTGCTGCTGCTGCTGCTGCTGCTGCTGGTGATGTTGCTGTTGCTGTTGGTGCTGGTGTTGCTGTTGGTGCTGCTGCTGATGTTGCTGTTGGTGCTGATGTTGCTGTTGGTGCTGCTGCTGATGTTGCTGTTGTTGCTGTTGTTGCTGCTGCTGCTGCTGTTGCTGCTGCTGCTGCTGCTGCTGTTGCTGCTGCTGCTGTTGCTGATGCTGTTGCTGTTGTTGTGGGGTGATGTGCAGGGAAGGAGATGCAGAGACCTGCTGCAGCAGAAGCTGCGCATACACCTGAAGTGATAGCGAGGTGCTGCTAAGCAGAAGCAGCGAGAAAAATGACAGAAGGGGGGCCCCCAGGGGCCTAGAAGCATCTAAGGACACGATGCCTTGCTGCTTCTGCTGCTGCTGCTGCTGCTGCTGCTGTTGTTAATGTTGCTGCTGCTGATCCTACCGTCGTTGCAGACACCTGCAGCAGCAGAACGCATGCAAATTAATTCAGTGCCAAGTAGAGAACAGACAGACAAACGAAGCAGCAGCAGCAGCAGCAACAGCAGCAGCAGCAGCAGCAGCAGCGAGACCGGGTGTGTGTGCCTCACGACAGTTTCCTGCTCTTTTGTTTACAGCTCTTCAACGGTTGGTTATTAAGGGCTTAACTGATGGAATTTAGGGTTTAGGGTTTAGGGTTTAGGGTTTAGGGTTTAGGGTTTAGGGTTTAGGGTTTAGAGGGGTTGTGGGGCCTGCAGTATAAGGGGGCTTACTTAGTCAGTGTGCAGCCCCAAGAGAAAAGTAGAGAAGCATGTGTCTGTCTGTATTTAATAAGACAAATTGAGTAAAATAAACAAACATTTTAATTAATTTTAATTAAAATTCAACGTGAAAGAGAAAAAAATAAAGAAAATGTATTATATAATGCAGCACTGCTGCATGCGGCAGCTCGCTATACACCCCGCATCCAAGCAGCCGCATTTGCTGCTGCAGTAAATATTATAAATAAAACGAATTAAATAATTAAATTTAATAAACCCTAATAAATAAAATCTAATAAATAAACCTTAATGAAGCCTAATAAAACCCTTATAAACCCTCATAAACCCTAACATATAAACCCTAGTAAACCCTTATAAACTAATTATCGTTACACGCTGTAAATGCAGTTAAAATCAAATAAATTAAATATAGAAAAGGAGAGACGAGGAGACAGGAGACAGCTGCTGCTGCTGCTGCTGCTACTGCTGTTATTCTTATTGCTGCTGTTCTTATCGCTGCTGCATCTGCTGCTGCATCTGCTGCTGCTGCTCTAAGTGCAGCAGAATACCGCAGCTAGTTTTCGGTGTATGCACACAAATTTAAAGCATTTGTTTATGTCTTTAATAAAACATCAAATGCAGCAGCTGTCTCCTCAGCTGTCTCCTCAGCTGTCTCCTCATGCGTTTGTATGCATGCATGCATACATTTGTTTACTTCTTTATTTATTTATTTGTTTATTTGTTCGTTTATTAATTTGTTTATTTGTTTGTTTATTTGTTTGTTTCCTCGCCGTTTTGTTTCCTTTTGTTTGTTTCTACATGCATTTTATCTATTTATTTATATTTATTAATATTTATTTATTATTATATCTGCTCTATATTTATTCTTGTTTTTTCTTCTACTCGTTGTTTGTTTGGCTGTCTATAAAGCACTCTATTTACTTATTTATTTATTATTTATTTATTTATTTATTATTTAATCTGCACATTTATATATTTATTTATTTATTAATTTCTTTTTGTGTTTGTCTGTCTTCCAGTCGTTGGAGAGACAAAGTCAAAAAAAACAGATGTAATAATATATAATATATAATATATATTATAAATAATATATATAATAGATTATATATATTATATATATTATATATTATATATACAATATACACTAAGTATTATATACATATGTATATGCTTATGATGAATATGTATGTAAAGATATACGCATCTATATATATACATATATATATATGCATATATATATAAATGTATATATATATATATAGATATATATATATATATATATGTATATGTATATGTGCATATATAGATAGATTTACTTGCATATAGATAATATATATATATATATATGTACATACATAAGCATAAATGCA